CATAGCGTTGAAACGAAGCGGATGTAAGTTAGTACTTACCTAAATGTTGAAAACCGCTCTTCGCATTGATAACATTCCTTTCCAGTGGAATCTGGCATCCAGTATTGTCCTAAAAGCGAAGAAAAATTTATGCCTAAAATCGGAGCAGAGACCAAAAACGATGCGTACGGAAGTTGCTCCTGTTATAGTCCATCAGTCCCGGCTTGTAACCACTCCTGAACATATTTGTCAGCTTATCGGAAAGCTTCCTCGGAGCTCTCTCATTGTCTTGGCTATCTGAAAATGATAAATCCTGAAAGCAACTTTACTGCTTTAAAAGCTGAAACTGAGATACCCAACCCAAAAGCAAAAGTGCAAATGCGATTTGATAAGATGTGATGAGAATAAAAGAATCTTTCAGATTCACAATTTGAATTTCAGTTTTTCAAAGTTAGATCAAATTGGTGCTGGATGGATACCGACCTGCTATGCATGAGCAGTACATTAGAGTAGCAAGAGACTAAAGGGCATCAAGAAATATGAAGATAAGTTCATTTTCAAGGTGTCACTGTCACTAACAGATTCCGGATTTGCAGTTAGAAAATAAATAAAGTAAAAAAAGTGTAATCAACTTACTGAAACTATTTACGCTTGGAGAGGTTCGGTCAGCATCGCACTGAGCATTAGCTAACGGCTTTGATGGAGCCTTAAAATACTAGAAAAACTGAAAGGAAGGTCGTTTCCAAAGAGACACAACATACAGAGATACTGCTGTCATCTCCCGATGACAACGGATTGTTAGTAGAAAATGATTCCGGAACCGTTTCATCTTCTTTTTCCTGTGAGGCTGTCTCTCCCAGGTAGAATGTGGCAGAGCCAGAAGGCTCGCAGTCCGCAGTGCTTTGATTACGCCAGAATCGTCCAAATATGCTTGAGAGGACGCCTGAGTGAGTAAATACATACAGGTACAAGGGTAAGAATCGAAGGTAGCATTACATACCACTACTGCCTGCTGAATTCTCTTCAGCAGCATCTTCAGCTAGACGGTCGAAGAATGTCAGTCCTCCCTTATCTATGTTATCATTCGCTACATTATCACCATGAGCCATGGATTCTACCCGTATTTGC